CACCACAACCAGGAAGGCAGTTCTGTATACTAAAGCACCACAATATATGTTTCAGCAAATGAATTATGTGGGGAAAAATGCAGATGCATTTGGAATATAAATGGCATTTTAATTGTTTCACAGCCTCTCTCCCCTCCCATATTGTTAAAATGTCTGATTTTGAAGTAAACACCAGTGGTTTGTTATCTGCTTAAAGGCAGAGCAAACATCTTTTATCACTTTTTATCCCATGCATGAGAGAATGTGGGGCATGAAAAACCTGTATTGTCCTGAATAACTATAGTTCTAGCTATAGCTAGTCCTGATTAACTGTTCCAGAATAAGAGTGCCTTACTCTGAAGTGGATTAAGTTAATTTGGAGCAAGGCATTCTTATTCTGGAACAAGAGTGTCTACGCACAGTTATTCAGGAATAGCTATTCTGCTGTGAATTCATACCCCACCATATCCAAATTAACTCTCAAGCGTAACTAGTCCTTAGTTCCTTGGGAGTCGGGAGTCAAGCTTTTTATGAACGAACAATTTCAATTCCTTACTTTTTTTTTAGTTTCCTTGGGTAAGAGACTGAAATTAACACATTTTGTTTTTCTCGGTCTCTCACTCACACATCTAGCTGAGGATACAGCCCTTTTTTTAGTGATCCTTAACTAGGATGTTAGCATCCCCAGTAGACATTTGCCCTTAACTTAAACTCTTGTTTAGAAAAGAGCACATGATGTGATCTCTGTCCATCAAGGGAGAGGTTGGTACCAACCTGCCACAGTTCATAAAGATGTTTCTAGGAAAAGGTTCATCCTCAGCATTCAGCAAATACTGTTGATAATTATCCACCCAATAGATACTGATTCCACTGTTTCTGTTAAATCCTCTTGTCTACCAGATACAGAGCTTTGTTCTTTGCTTTGACAGTACTGGTGTAGGGTTTAAAGCTGTGTTTCTTTTCCAAATGGAGTGAAGATTAAGTGGTTTCCTCTCCATTTGAAAATAGGTAAACTTCCAAAGCACTAAGCCTGTGAGTACTGACTGACTCACCAAGGGGATTAGCAAAAATAACATACATTCTTTCTGGATTACTTGGCCCTAAACTTGTTGCAAGCCTGAACAGCCCTTGTCCTCTACTGGGTAAACTGAGAGCTGCTTTGTGTCTGTAATAGTCCTTGGTGAATTGTCTATTGGCAATTGTGATATTCGGGGGAGTGGACTTGGGTTTGGGCTTGGTCCTCTGCTCCTTGTTTATAGGTGCCACAAAAGCTGCAGAAAAAGGATCAGAAACATCAATCCGTCTAAAATGGAATCTCTTCTTAATGTTTTACTGGCTAGCAGAGGCTCTGCTCTTGTCAGGTGTCAAATAGACATCATTACAATCATGCAGCTTTCATTCGCCTGTTGAATCATCTCTGAGCAGGGCATGTTGGAAACTCAGGTTCTCACAGCCCTCGCCTGTTACTGGAGATTTATTATGAAAAGAAGGGCATGTTGTGTGCTGAACACTCTCTGACAGCAAGTAGCCTGAATAAAGCCTGTGAAGTCAGTGTGCTTGTTCTTTTCTTGCCGCACCAGCTGTATTTCGCTACAGAAAGCAGTGATCCTTCATGTTGAATTTTGCTGCAGTTCTGGGGCTGGAGCGCTTGCCATGTATACAAACATGAATGTCAGAAGTCCTCTGGTTAAATGATTTTGGTGAGTGACGACACCCAAATATTCCTACAAGGAGAGTTCCGACACATTTTTCCGAATGCATTCAATCTCGTCACCGAGCCTCCTACCATTGCATGGTTGTATTTTCCCTGTTATCAGGGAAGCTATACATTTCAGTCATGAAAAGTGAGCTGTAATAATAAAGAGACTGAAAATAACTTGTCAGGGGGGAAAAAAACAACACCCTATCTCAAACATCAGATTCAGAATGAAACATGTTCCCCATAACCTGGTTTTATGAAAGCAGCACAGTAGTTAGACTCCGTGTTTACTTGTTTTGAATCCCAATGAGGCAGCATGTGACTTGGCTTCACTGATGTTCTTTTGGAAACCTCAATTCACTATAGTGGGATATTGATACAGACTTACAAAGTTGACAGTGACTGGGGCCATTTCAGATTTGTTTGCAGTCGCTGATTGCAGAAGGATAAATTGGGATTTGTAGGATCAAATTAAAAACCAAATCATTAAATTGTATCCTGTTTAAATAAACCTTCATGACACACTCCCACAAATCCCTTTGCCCTGCCTTGTCTTGGCAGCACACTTCATATGTTGCTTCCTCTAATGCAGAATTTCATCCAAGTTCTTGGGCATGCTATATGCTGTCAATCGTATTGAGGATCCTCATGCTTTTTGTGCACAGTGTTAACAAACCATGTTTCAACCCTACAAAGGGAGCAGGTAGTCTTAAAAAAAAAAAAAAAAGATTTAGGTATTACAAAGGCAGTGTGGTCCAGTGGATAGAGCACTGGACCGAGTATCTGCAGACCTGATTCTATTCCCAGCCTGCCCCGTGTGTAGTGACCCACTAAGCTAGGCTATGCTGCCTGTGAGGAGAGGTAGAGGCAAACCAAGACAAAGGGGATAATTTTAAATTTTTAGAAATTTATAAGGAAAAACTCCAACACTGTACCATGGGCATAAGTAATATAGAACATTACCAAACTTACTACTTGTAACAATAAACTATAGCTTACCAACTCATTAACCTTTTGTGAGCTTGTACACTCTGGGCAGTTAGTACCAAATGCATTGTTGTTAACCACAACAAAAGAGATTACTTAACAATATACTGTATCGTTTCAGAGAATATTTCTCTTTCCCTCTCCTTGGTTGTAAATCTTTGCTTTTTTGTGTTTCTTTGGCTTGAAGTGCTCCCTTAGATTCAATGTTCTTGCGCCTGTACCTCTTTTCACCGAGTTTACCCACAAGCGGGGTTTCTTCACCTAGTGGGCCCTCCCTGGTCCATCAGGCACCTTTGAACAGTATTCTGTCAGTAGCTATTTAAACAGTCATTCTCTCGGTTCATGTATTTTAGGCTTCTTGTTTACCGTTTTCAGGTTCTGTTTCATCGAACACAGCTTTTTGATCAATTCTCTTTTTCACCAAATATATTTCCTTTCAGTTTTTTTCCTTGATACTCTTTCTCTGGTAGAGCAGTAGATTTTATTTCCCGCTGTTTCCCTTCCCTGATAGTGCCTGCTCACATACCCAGGTCGTTGTCTTTTTTTAATTTTCTGCTTCCCCTGACCTGAAACCTTTCCTGTTTTCCTTCTTTCCTCCTTCTCACTTCCTAGTCCCCTACTTTTATTCTCCCGTTCTTCTATTTTATCACCTCACCTCCTACCCAGCCTCCGGTTCATCTGGTAGCTCAGCATCTTGACTTTTCTCTTTCTCTAAGAGCTTTTCCAACTGCTCCTTCGGGTAGATTCTGAACCCCCTTCTTCGCTCAAGCTGCCCTGTCCTGGGCCATCTCTCTCCCCAGGACAGCATTCTGTGCTGCCGTATCACAGCAGCAGCAGGTGCTAGCTAGTGCCAGGGTGAGGGTTACTGCACATGCATTGGGCAGATCAGTTCACCTGTGTGTGTTTCCCAATCTCTAAAATGAGGTCAATGAGCCCCTTGTTTGTAAAGCAATTTCAGATCTGCAGGAAAAAAAGTGTTACAGAAAAGCTAGCTGCTATTTATAGTGCTTATATGTCCCAGGATGTAAATTCTCTATAACTTTTGTGAAAGTGGCTTAGAACTGGATCCCAGCTGTGGGAGGCACAAGGCTGACGTGCGGTATTAAGCACTATATCTGAGGTGTTTTCCTTCTTAGGGTTCTTAACGATATTTGCACCATTCAAGCTGCTTATTCTATTGCTTTGAGTGGTGTTTTATCAGTCTCAGCACAGAGCTGTCATCATACACTACAGCCTTGGGGTATGGTTGTGTCCAGATTAAATAGGGAAAGAGCTACTTGTAAAGTGGATGTGAATAGGGAAAGAATAGTAAGCAATGAGAAGAGAAAACACGCCGTGAGGAAAACAGGGTGTTTTGCAGGACAGTGAATAGAAAATATGTATATTCCCAAGTATAAAGGCAATAAGAGGTTTGAATTTTCTGCTTTTCATGTTGTTCAAAGATTGTATGAACCTGAGTGACAAACGCTTAACTTGGATTGTACTTAAAAAAAAAAAATCCAATACTTGAGGTGCAACAGTGGCAACTGGGGTACAGAATGGAAAAGTTTCTGGATAAATGAGGAATGCCCAGGTAGGCCCTTGTTGATAGTTGTTTACATGAGTTACTGGCAGATCCTGTCTGGTTGCAATGCCAGCAATCTCATCAGTATTTATATTAAGCACTATACAAAATCTTCTTTCACCTCCGCCTCCTCCAATGTGGGGAGGAGTAACAGTTCTTAAGTGATCAGCATTTCCCTTTGTTGTTTGGGTGTGGTGGAGGGATGAATCTCCATTGAAACCCACTGGTTGACTGTACTGAATAAAATGGGACTATCAGTAGCAATTTGCAGCTATGGCAGTTTGTGGAGGTGTTCATACCTCAGAATTCAGGATGCAAGTTTCACTGAAGCCTCATTCCAGTGAAGCTACTGGTATGTTGTCTGGTGTTTATGCCCAGGTTATTGTGAGCCCTTAATGTCCTTGGATTCATTATTGTAACCTGCTTGCTCCTTGTTTTTTGGATACCTTCAACAAACTCCACGGCCCATGCTCTATCAGTTACACCAGTGCAGTACCACGGAAGTCAATAGAGCTGTACCAGGCTACGAGAGAGAAGAATTTGTTGTCAAATGTCCTATTCCAGTATTATTGGTTCTCCTGTAAAACATTGGTGGATGCCTTGAGGCTTAATTTCATTTGTTTCAAAGTCCAGGTCTGGAGCACAGAAGGTATCTTCTTGAACCTTATGCCAAATTCATCTTCTCTTTCTGTCTGGTCTACCTGATGAGACTGATTCCCCCCCCCCCCCTTTTTTCTTTTTTTCACTGCAGTGTTTCTTTCTTCTCCACAGGCCTGGTGTGATCACCATGCAAGCACTTTCTGAAGAGGACCGAAAGCTTTGGATGGAGGCTATGGATGGCCGGGAACCGGTAAGAAGGGACAGTAATGAATACCTGTCTAATGAAGACTCAAAAGGCTCTTTTTGTGGCCCGATTGTCTGCTGTGAAGCAGTGTGTCACGCTGCACTTGCCAACCTCCATTAGCACTGTATCCGTGGGGCAGCTCTCTGGTTCTGGCATGAGAATCCTTTAATACTCTGGTTAAATATTGAGGTAATACTCTATCTCCTGTGCTTGGATGGCTGGAGGGCTCTGGCTACCTTTGCTCCTGTGGAACATAGGCTAAACTAGCACCAACATGCTCCTGTGCTGCTGTGTTGTGTTAACAGGAAATCACAGCAACACGATCTAAGGAAGAACATATACAGTGTGTGATTTGCAGGGTTTTCTGCGGCCTGCTGTTCTCAGGGGGCTTTACAGTGTTCCAGTAAGAGTCATAGTGCTACCCCCCTCCCCCTTCAGCAGCCCATGTCTTGTGATTGTGTTTACTCCTGCTTTGCCAAAGGAGCACAGCAAATGGGTTTCACAAGTGGTGGAGAAGATGGAGGTTTCCCTGGTATGCCACTTCTGCTGGTGAATGTGGAGGACTTTTAATATTGATAATGCATGAGTTTTCTGTTGTAATTTTATTCTAGCGCTCTGTTACAGCACAGTAATAAACAGTCCAGGTTAGTTCCTATGTACTATAAAGACCAATTGGCTCTGAGGCCTGAAGTGTAGGAGCAGGATTTTATATTGTACTGTGAGAATTAATGTATGATTTGATTTCATCCTGCTAGCCACCCTTTTTGAATAGCAGAAAGGAATCACAGACCAGAATAATCCTTATGACCGATTATGGTCACCCTTTTGTTTTAGGATAAGTTATAATGTCTACTATGGTTTTCTATGTGTATTACAAATTAGGCATTCTAGTTAAATATACATTTCTTTGTTTTAAGGTTTTAGTAAGTAAGAGACAGGATCTTGTATTGTATCTATGTTAAGGAGATTAGAGGAATGTTGAGGGCCTGAAGCCCCAATGTGAATTGTTTTAGTTATAAGATTTAGCAAGGCTTGATTTACAATGTCTTCTGCTGAATATACAGTACTGCTGTCTGTATACCTTTGAAGGTTTCTGTAAGAGATTGTTTGTGAGAATGAGGAATGCATGCATCAGGAAAAGATAAGGTGTGAAAGCCATCACAAATGTCCAGATGGTCAAGAAAAAGTGAGAGACTTGGAAAGACCAGGAGACAATCAGGAAACATCCATTGTATCTGATGCTAAACATGTTAGCAGCATTGACGACCTCAGAGGTGAGGCAGGCACCCCCGAAGGCGAGACAACAAATAGAGGATAACGATGGGAAGCCCGACAATAACCATCAAATGATAACAGCACTTAAGGACTAATGATTACAGGATGACATTGCAAAATGCATGGACTCAAATGGGAATTTACAACTATAAAGCTGGGGTGTTTTGCCATGGAACTCTGGGTTCAGTCCTGCAAGCTACAACAGACTGGTAACTATAAACATCAACTGGCAGGAGTGTGTGTGTGTGTGTGTGTGTGTAGCATATGCTAACTGTTGTATTTTCAATAAATGCTGCGTATTTGCCTTCTCCTGAAAAGATCCCGTGTGCTTTGTATGAGCATAACAGAAGAAGAAAATTATTATCTAAGGATTAAAGCAGTGGTTGAGATGAAGCTCGAATTGCATGACTGCAGGTGCTGTTTAAACTCTTGGGCAATATTTTAAGGTTGTGACCCTCACATTTCAGAATGTGCACCATTTAAAAGATGCTACATTCAAAGTTGATAAAAGGAAGTGCAGAATTAGATTGTGGGTCTCCATTGCCACAGGAAGTCACTGAGGCTTAGAATTTAGCAAGGTTCACAAAGGAATTGGACATTTATGTGAATAACAAGAATATCTGGAATTGTTGTCATCAATAACTATACATTTTGGAAGAGTTTTTGACCTCATGCTTCAGGGTTTAGGTCAGTCTCTGTCTATTAGAGATCAGGATGAGACCATATCTGCCCACTGTGGGTCTCTCACAACTTCCTTTGAAGCATCTGGTGCTGGCTGTTGTGAAAGACAGGATATTGATTTAGATGGACCCTGGGTCTGATTCATTAGGGCAATGCCTGTAGTGGTTGCTTATCTGTTGCTGGCTGTGTGCTAGAGAAGTGGTGAGTAAGCAAAGGTGAAACATGCCTGTATGCAGTGGGCTGGACACCTGTTGTGACAATTTAGGGGGCGGTTGCATAGCAGAGGCTGTTCTTGGTCAGGCCACCTATTTTTGGACTGGTTGCAATGGTTCAAAAAACCAAAAGGCTTAAGTGTATGTGCCCTGGTTACTATTCAAATATGGCATTTCCTCACTGCTTTCTGTAAACTCTTCAAGTTTTGGAGAAACTGTGATGTTTGATCAGTTACTCAAACAAATGAAATACTGATTCTCCCCCCGGCCCCCGCAATGGAACTCTGACACTAAAACGGAGTTCTGGGCAGTGCTTAATTGTAGCTACAGACTCCTCATTTCCAGGAACAGTCTCCTGAGGAAGGCTTCATGCATAGAGGGAAAGTTGGCAGGCACCAGAAAGAAATGGGGTTAGTGCAACTGGGTGTATGTTATAATGCCAAAAGCCCAGCACGTCCCACCACCTTCCTTTTTTCCCTGACTTTTTGGGACCCCTGTACATGATAGCCTGTCCTTCCCTTCGCTTCTTGTCTAGCTGGAAGCAATCATATTAAGAAAATATTCCTATATAATTCAAATCAAGTTCTCTGGCTCCCATATATGAGCTGTCTTTTCTCTTTTTTAAATTACGATCCATCTGGTTTCTGCAGTGGCTGCTACAGAAGTGAGATGGTAATATTGCTTCCTCCTCCTAACTGCAATAATAAAAATAGCACAATCAATTAAAGAGTGAACAAGACATGTACAGTAAAACACATGACATGATCACAAATTGTCCTTCTCTCGTCCTTGTAATCGTCTACTCTCCCTACCCCAGCTTCACTGGACCTTTTGTTGTGACATGTCAAATATAAGCCCCGTGATCCTTCAATTGCTTACGCAGATCCATTCACCCAGGTTTAGTCCTGTAGACTGCATCAGGTTTTGCACAGGTGGTAGAGTCAGTCTGTTAGGATTACAGGATCGGTGCCACAGATTGTAAGCATCTCTGGTCGGTGACTGTGTCTCTTACTTGTTTGTAAAGTGCCACACATGACAAAAGGTGCTATAAAATAATAAATAATACTGAGCAGCCCAGACTTCCTGTTGGTGGCCCTAGTTTTATGTGAACTAGTTCAAAAACAGTCCAGTCCTTCATACTGACCACTGCGCATTTATTTTCTTCTCCATAATGCCCATCTGTTTAGGTGGCTTGCTAGTTTAGTACAGTGGTTTTCAAACTATTTTTTCTGGGGACCATGTTGAAGAAAATTTTTGATGCCCGTGACCCAACGGAGCTGGGGATGAGGGGTTTGGGGTGCAGGAAGGGGTTTTGGGTTGGGGGGGTCAGGGCTGGGGCAGGGGGTTGGGATGCGGGAGGGGGTCAGGGCTCTGGGCTGGGGGTGCAGGCTCTGGGGTGGGGATGAGGGGTTTGGGGTGTAGGAAGGGGCTCCGCAGAGGTTATGGGGGGCTCAGGGCTGGGGGTTGGGGTGTGGGAGGGGGTCAGGGCTCTGGGCTGGGGGTGCAGGCTCTGGGGTGGGGCCAGGGATGAAGGGTTTGGGGTGCAGGAGGGGGCTCTGGCTTGAGGGAGGTGTCAGGGTTGGGGCCTGGGGTTGGGGCGCAGAATTACCTCCCGCGGCTCCCAGTCAGAGGCTTCCCACCTGTCCCGGCACCACAGACCGTGCTGCGTCCTGGAAGTGGCCAGCAACAGGTCCGGCTCCTAGGCGGAGGCGCGCAAGCGGCTTCGCGCAGCTCTCACCCACGCCCACCCCCCCGCACCTCCAGCGCCCATTGGCCGGAAACCGGCCAATGGGAGTGTAGAGCCAGTGCTTGGGGCAGGGGCAGCACGCAGAGCCCCATGGCCCCCCTGACTAGAAGCCGGACTCCCTGCTGCCCGCTTCCGGGACGCAACGCGGTGTCAGAAAAGGTAGGCACTAGCCTTTTAACGTCCCGGTCGGCGGTGCTGACCCAGAGCAAGGCAACCCAGCACAGTACATGCTGCGACCCACGGTTTGAAAAACACTGGTTTAGTACATCTACCTATGCAGGTTATCACTTTGGAGATGCAATGACTGATGTATGTTTATAGCACTTTGAACTGGCCATCCATGTACACCACTGGCACCCTCACCTACTGAAGCACCGTACAGAATCGCAGTCATAAGGCATTAGTGGTGAAAGCACAGTTGGTGGATAAGGCAGATTCCTTGTCCTTGGTCCACCTCCTCCCCATCTCTAAAGTTACAGGAAATTGGGTTGTAAATTTGTTGCGTGTGGTTTTGTCTTATGACACCAGGATGTCAGTTGTTAGGCTTACTTCACAAAGTCTGCTTTGCACAATAAGTAAGTTTAACCTCTAGACTCCCAGAACTATGCATTGTGATTCTTTTTTTTCTTACTTTATTTTACTGGCCTAGAAAAGAAGCTGATCTCACTTCCAGTCTTTTTCTTGCTTGAAAGGTTCAACACAGAAAAAAATTGATAGTGTTGGATATAACTCCATGAACGAATTTAGAAGCCCAGTGTGTAACGATATTAAAGTGGATTCAGTTGCATTTTTTTTATTGCACTTACTTTAAAACTAAAAACCAATGCAGTGCTATTATTTAACCAGGACTAAATATGGAATGTGAGTTATTAGCCAAGGTATTTTAACAAATTGAAAAGATTTACCATACCTTCAGTGCTAAGCGCAACAGTCAGATAGAGATGACTTTAGCTTTCTATTAGCTTTCACTGGTATAATTAGTTGTACTAAAAACCACAAGTTTCTTTTGATTTATATCACTCATGGAGGCTAGAAACAAGGGAAGGCTTAGTCTCAACACAGAGCATTTAAACTGGCTTTTCGTTAATTTT